AGGGAGGCACAGAATCTGAAACAGGCTCCAGGCTCTGAGCTGTCAGCACAGAGCCCGACGCGGGGCTTGAACTCACGGGCCGCGAGATCATGACCTGAGCCGAAGTCGGCCGCTTAACCGACTGAGCCACCCAGGCGCCCCATAGTTTTCTCACTCTTTACATAAAATAGTTGTTTGTTTTTTTTTAAGTATGTGTAAGTCCTAATTTCATTCACTCAAAACAGACATTTACAATTGTGCCTGTCCTATGCACAGAAATACTATACTAGGCTCCAAGGATTAAAAAAAATTCTACAAAGCTCAAAGTATAATAGGGGAGAAACCTAATTATAATACAACGTGGTGTAAAGGCAATATACAAAGATGTTGGCAATAGGCTTATATATGGTAACTGAAATTAGCAGAGTATAAAACAACTGATACACGGTTAAGAGCAGTGGGCAAAGAAACAAACACTGGGAACACAAACACATTTAAGAGCACTTTAACAGATATAAAGCCCAAGAATGAGCACAGAAGGAATGATGAATAAAACACATGAGAAACAGAAGAGCAGCTTTCTGAAGGACGAAATCAACAGTGCCAAAATCAATATTAAGTCTGAAAAAGAGTACAGAGGACCTATGAATGAGGCGTTACTGGTAGCCCCAGAAGCTTGTAAGTTGTGAATATAAAAAGGCAGATTACCATGCGATGAGTCCGTAGAAACTAAGAGTCAAGAAGTTTGAGTAAGAAAAGAAGACAGGATAGTAAGTAAGAAGAATACAGGACAAAAAGGAATTCTTTTCAGGAACAGAGGGACTTGAATAGGTTTTTGGGCTAAAGCGAAGGAGCAACTAGAGAGGAAGAGGTTGAAGAGTCTGGAAACAGAGGTGACAGAAAAGAGCAAGAACCCAGGAATGGTGGAACACAGTCAAAAGCATGACTGGAGGAGTTGAGATTGAACAGGAAGTGAAATATCCCACCTACTAAAACCAAAGGAAAGAGAGTAATGATGGCAAGGGGAAGATAAAGTTGTAGGTAAGGGAGGGGGCAAATAGTTGAGGATGGAGATCATTCCCAGTAACTTAATTTTCTCATATGTGATTTTTCACTTATTGTGACAAAAGAGCTGGAAAGAAAGTGATTCTTCAAAGTAAATCCAATTTGAATGGTCACAAATAAGGAATTAATGAAATTACACAGTATTAGATTAGAGTCAAAGCATGAGTTTAGAGACAAAGTATATTCTATGTTATTTCACCAAAGACAATACAGTACGTATTTCTGATCAGCCCTAACAGACCAAATGTAGCAGGAAAAAAGATCTAGGACAAGAACTGGCAAGATTTTTAAAGGACCAGGTAATAAATATTGTTTGGCTTTTCAAGCCATATAGTCTCTTATTCCAACCACTCAACTCTACCCCTGTAGCATGAAAGCAGCCACACACAGCACAAAAATAAGCAGGTATATTGTGTTACAATAAAACTTTATTTACCAATGAGTGAATCTGGCCCACAGGCCTGAAGTTTGCTGGCCCCTGTTCTCTAGACTGAGAACGCTTTTAAGGAAATGAAGCAGTAGAAAGAAGCCTAAGTTAGGAGAATGAAGAAAGACGAGCAGCCAGAACTAAAATGTAGTTGAGATATTAAAGAGCAAAATATGAGAAAAGCAGCAAAAGAAAAAGCAGAAAGAGAATGAAGGAGAAAATCAAGTGAGAAAGGAAAACTGGAAACAGGAAAGTAAAAAATGAGTAGAGATCATACGCCAATTCCAAAGCAGAAAGATGCAGAGACAAAAAGCAGCTGAATGCCCTACAAAATAGCAAAATGAAGAGGGGAAAATAAGAGCATCCCATATCTGTCTGCAATGGAATTCAGATAACGGATAAAACACACACTAATTTTCCAGCGATAACCTGACAGTCTAATTGTGGGTGTGCAAAAGGAATCCACAGCTTACAAAATGCAGAGTTACTCTTCATTTTGCCCACAACTCAAACTGGTAACATGTATAGCATTCAAGAGATCACATGAAACTTACCCATATCATAAAAAACAGATCAATTATTTCTAGGCCTTTTATTCCCTTGCATATGTGTACAAATGTGACAACTTTAAAAACCTAGTAAAACAAAAAAACTTACTAAAATCAGTAGTATTAAGAAGTTAAAAGCCATACTAACTTAACTTTTAAAAGTTTCCCCAAAAATAAAGCCAAAGATTTTAAAAAGAAAAGAATCTTGAATAATCTGCATATTTATACTATACAGGAATTTTGTTTACTTTTGGCTTTGTGGGGAAATCCCTTAAGGTAAATGCAGGCTTATTCTGACTAAGCTAAACAACAAATGAGACCACATAATTTATGTCACAATAGTACAGTGTTCAAGAACATGAGTTGGGGGGTTAGAAGCTGCTAGGTTTGTGTCTTCACTTTACCAAGTTACTTGATCATGTCTTAATTTTTTGTAATTAATGAACCATGCCAATTAATTACCCTAAAAAGTTTTTTCTATACTAATAGCATCTCCAAAATAATACTTATAGAGGGCAAGGATAGTATTAATACTATCTTCCAGGACAGTATTAAGAATCTGGCTTAAGAGACCTGAAATCCTTCGGGCACCTGGGTGGTTCAGTGGGTTAAGCGTCCGACTTCAGCTCAGGTCATGATCCCACAGCTCATGAGTTCAAGCCCCACGCTGGGCTCTGTGCTAACAAGCTCAGAGCCTGGAGCCTGCTTCAGATTCTGTGTCTCCCTCTCTCTGCCCCTCCCCCACTCACACTGTCTTTCTCTCTTAAATGAATGTTTAAAAAAAAAAGAGAGAGAGAGACAGAGAGAGAGAGAGAGAGAGAGAGAGAGAGAGAGAGAGGGACCTGAAATCCTCAACACATGACTTAATACTATTTTCAGGATACCATGCACTGGACACAATTGTGTAATTCACTAAACCACTACAGTCTTTAAATAAAATACCTGAAATTACTCCACTATGGGATGTCCTCATCAAGAAAACTATATTTTTATGTATAGCAAAATACATCCATCCCGTTATGAGTGTACTGAATAGTGTCAAAGTTGTCGCTCTGATCCTTTTTCTTGGCTTTCTACAATGAACACAAATTACCTAAGAAATAAAGACATGATAAAATAATAAAATAAAATAAAAAATTTAAGACATTAATTTTGAAGAGGATCAAAGAATGGGATGCCACAGATATTTCCAAGTAACATTTATCTTTCCAAATTTAGGAAATGCTAATTCACTTTAAGAACAAAAGACAAAGCGTATTGTAAATGGCTATTAGCTAAATGGCCTGGTACCCAACAGAGTAAGGAACATTTTGTTGTTGTTGTGACCAATACTTTTTCCAGAGTGCTATGTACTACTAGATTCAACTAAAACTGTATTTTCCCTTTCAGCTTATTATCCAAAGTCAATTTTTAAATTTAAAACAGTGAAATACTTCAACAGTATAAGCATAAATATAATTTTGTGGTCCTAGGCATAAATAAGATCAACTCCAAAGGCAGCAACGAAAAAAAGACTTGTTTCCTTGTATGGGCCATTGAAGGACTCTTAGACAAAGAGTTGTAAATCAGAGACACAGACATTTGAGAAGGTACAAAAACAGAACACAGTGCTTTCTCCAGCACTGCAAACCGTTACAGGTACCTAGCACTGCTAGCTTCTGAAAAAACAAGCTAACTATAGGTGAGAACCTTAAGAGGTCCAAAGGAAAGGCTTTAACTTTCTGGTGGCTTGTAATTTCTAAAAAACAATGCAGAAAAATGAGCGCAACAAAAACAGCTGAATGATGAAAATCAAAAACTGTGGGGAGTTACAACTCACAATGGAATTGACTATAGAATCTGACCAGAAAAAATCAATTTAAGAATTTTTCAGCCAAGGGACCCCTGGGTGGCTCAGTCGATTAAGTGTCCTACTTCAGCTCAGGTCATGATCTCACAGTTCGTGAGTTTGAGCCCCACTTCGGCTGTCAGCTCAGAGCGTGCTACAGATTCTGTGTCTCCCTCTCTCTCTCTACCCCTCCCCCATTTGTGTACATGCGCTCTCGCTGTCTCACACACTCTCTCAAAAATAAACATTAAAAAAAAAGGTTAGAGCCAAGTTCAAAATTGCCAAGAGACTTTCAATGTGATACTAAACACTCAGCACTGCATATACTCTCCAAATGAGTAACAGTAATTCCCGTATTTTCCTCCTCAATGGACATTTGAAATGGACTAAATTTTAATATAACTATGTCATCCCTTTTAGTTTTTCAAAACAGTCCCATACTCTGAATGTTTTATTATTTTTTTAATATAATTTGTTATCAAACTGGCTAACATACAGTGTGTAAAGATGTACTCTTGGTTTGGGGGTAGATTCCTGTGGTTCATCGCTTACATATAACACCCAGTGCTCATCCCAACAAGTGCCCTCCTCAATGCCCATCACCCATTTTCTCCTCTCCTCCACCCCTCCTGAATGTTTTCTTAAATACACATGTTCTACTTATCTTTTTCATCTTCATTAAGCCATTGTTTTTCTATCCATAGCTCTCTGCCCGTTCTCTCTTAGTCCTATGTTATTTCCAGGTCATAAAACTATAACATTTATGGAACTATAAGCATGATAAAACTACATATGTGTTATTTATAAGCATCTTAAAATGAAAAGTTTATGAACTGAAGGCCAAATGGGACAAGAAATTTCAGTTGAGTATAATCAATAGCATTCTTGACCATGAAACTATAGACTGAAAATCCCTTACAAACTTTAACAGAACACAAACTCTCATGATTTATCCTAAAGTATCAAGGAATCTTCCTCTGAAGTTTTAAATATTTTCCAACAAAAATGCATTAAAATTCCCATTTGTCCTAATCAGGTTACTCTAAAAAAAAAAAAAAAAAAAAAAAAAAAAAAAAAGTCTGTATAATCAATGCATAAAGTCTTTGAATAAATCTTATAAACCATGACACATATTTAGGAAATCAAAATTCACCTCTTCTTGCATAACTGGAGTCCATGTCTTTAAACTGTACCACAACAAAGTCTGAACACTTGAACAAAATACTCTCCATTATTTCTTCACGTTTTGGCCCCGAACTGGATTCCATACTTTTCTCATGTGCAGCATCAAGCACCAAATCACACTAAAATGAGAAGCATGAGTAAATATTCAAAACACTTATAAAATATAAGAATTCTTCAGCATATCGAGGTACTATTTCTTAAATGCCCTTGACAAAAATAATCTATCTCAAGAGAATCTTATAATCATACCTTTTTCTCAGAAATATGACCTATTATCTATTCCATCATTCAAAATACTTCTCACCTACAAGTTGGTCCCTGCTACCATAGTCTGTCTTAAGTAAACTAATGGTGATAAAGAACAGAATAATGAACCACTCAATCCCTCTTCAGGTCCACAATGCTTGAAAAGGTCAAGATACTGTAATAAGCCCACAAAGCAAGTTTGATTATACAAAATAGTTTATAAAATAATCAGTATTTGAAACTGAAGAGCAAAATCTAAGTGGTAAAGTAACTAAACGTGAAAATGTGACAAACATGTCCACATAACTATAAATTATTAAATCAGAAGCTAACAGACACCGTCAGGAAGCCATACAAACATACAGCAGTTGATGATTCATGGGGTTTTACATTCAACAAAAAGAGAAAAGAGTAAAAATTACCTTAGGACTGTAGGTTTTAAAAACTCCTTCATATATACCTCCGTTTTTCACTTGTACTTCACATTTGGATCCCTAAAAACATACAATTAATTTATCAAAGAAACAGTGTGCTAGCCAGTCTCGAGGGACAGTTGCTTTCATTTTATTTTTTATATAGCTCATCAGGCTTCATTCAACATATTAGGTATTTACTGATAGAACAATAAAAAATTTTAAAACATTAACAATACACTGAATTCTCAAAATTCCTCAGGAGGCCTTGCTCAGAGTTCGCAGTATGAATTTAAATACTGAAGGTAAGTATTTCTGACTCTGGTTCTATTAAGTGACAAAATAATGCACTAAAGACAGTCATCTACTACTATTATTTTGTACATAGTAGGGTTAACAAGAATGCTTTTATAGTGAGTCACGATAGCTTGGATGGAGTTCTGTTTTTTCTAAATAATCCTGATTGTGACCTAAGAAATGATACTGTGAGAATCATTCATCTACATTTCAACACCATGAAATTACTTTATTGCACTACGCGCCAGGCAGTCTCTCCCCGATAATCTGGTAACTTACAACAACTGATGTAAGTATATGAACCATCCTCATATTTGCATAGATTCCATCAAAAGAAATCTGGAATTTTAAGAAAAAAATATTAGCCATCAGTATTTATCCTTCTGTATACATATTAGAGTTAACATTTAATTTGTTACAAAATGTTTAGTTAGCTTTATAATACCTTACGTGCATTAAAGAAAGATTTACTTTACTACAATCTTTTGTTTCCTTAGAGAACAGAGGCTTAAGTTTTCAAAAGTGAAATCAGTCATACCATCTAACAATGTTTTGACTATACATGACACAAAAAAGCAAAAGTGAACTTCCATATATGAGAAAAGACAAAACCACAAATATTGGGGAGTAAAGGGAGGAGGGTTCACTACAAAGTGGCAGGAGTGATTTTTCAAAGTGAGAGAAATGTCCCATTATCTTGACTGTGGTGGTGGTTACACAATCGTATGCATCAAAACTCACAGACCTGTACACTAAATAGGTTTAACTATATGTAAATAAATGAATGGGGTGGAGGGGTCTTTTGCAGAAGACGCTGCACTATGTTCCCTCAGCACATATCCATCAATCATGGATTTTTTCATTGATAAAAGTTCTAAAATTTTTTTTTTTTTTAATTTTTTTTTTTTTCAACGTTTATTTATTTTTGGGACAGAGAGAAACAGAGCATGAACGGGGGAGGGGCAGAGAGAGAGGGAGACACAGAATCGGAAACAGGCTCCAGGCTCCGAGCCATCAGCCCAGAGCCCGACGCGGGGCTCGAACTCACGGACCGCGAGATCGTGACCTGGCTGAAGTCGGACGCTCAACCGACTGCGCCACCCAGGCGCCCCTAAAAGTTCTAAATTTTAAAACCAGAAGGCTCTTTCCAAGGGAGAAAAATGGAACGAACTAAAAGATAGCACATTAATTCAAAACCAAACACCCAAAGAACTCTGCAACTCCAGTCCTCGTGTTCCATTGATCTTTTTTAGGCATTATGCATTTAGATTTGCCTTTAGCCATTTATAAAACAACAAATAACTTATTAGGCAAGAAAAATACTATTAACAGATAATTTTATATTTTTCATATAAAATCATCTCAAAAAACAACATATATAGCTAATAATTTTATACCAAACAGTACTGAAGTATAAAAGTTATAAGAGGGGTGCCTATGTGGCTCAGTCAGTTAACCATCCAACTTCAGCTCAGGTCATGATCTCACAGTCTGTGAGTTTGAGTCCCCCCGTCAGCCTCTCTGCTGTCAGCACAGAGCCTGCTTCGGATCCTCTGTCCCCTCACTCTCCGGCCCCCTACATTGCTCGTTTTCTCTCTCTCTCTCTCTCTCTCTCTCTCTCTCTCTCTCTCTCTCTCTCCCCTCTCTTCTCTCTCTCTCTCGCTCACTCACTCACTCACTCCAAAATAAACATTAAAATTTTCTTTGGGCACCTGGGTGGTTCAGTCTGTTAAACATCTGACTTCAGCTCAGGACACGATCTCACAGTTCATGAGTTCGAGCCCTGTGTCAGGCCCTGTGTTGACACCACGGAGCCTGGAGCCTGGAGCCTGCTTCGGATTCTGTGTCTCCCTCTCTCTCTCTACCCCTCCCTCACAGTCTGTCTCACTTTCTCTCTCAAAAATAAAAAAAAAATTTTTAACGTTGTCAGATATAAAATTCAAGAAAAAGGATTTTTTTTTACCTTGGCTTTGGTCCACCGGTTCAGAAATCACATTTTCATTACCAATTTTTCCAACCAACTAACATTAAAGTTACTCACCGTAGATTGAGGCAGTCCTTTGCTGTTTCGACCTCTGAAAAAATTAAATACTATGTTTATTAAGTTCAACAGGCTAAACATACTAAAAAAAATTTTTCAAATTTAAATTTCATTCAAATAAAGCATAATTCCATTCAAATAAAGCATAGGCAATCCATGGGTAAGGCTCATCTAATATTAACTATAAAGGCTACCTAAGTATGGTTCTCTCTGTGTTTGCTGGCTCAGAGGCCCAGAAAAGATATGGGTCATGGCAGGGAGGAAGGAAGAAATAATGTGAACATGATCAAAATAAAACAAAGTACAAATAAAAATAGCCTACTGGAAAAAATAACCAATACTAAATAATCTTTACTCCAAAAGTAACCTCTCACTCTGTTGGAGAAAACTACTTGGGAATAAAATATAAATTCTATTCCTGATTTAACTGACATATTGACTGACATCAAAGTCACCTCCCATCTTTTCCCCCGGTCTCTAAATACAGGCACTATGTTTACAAGTGCAGAAAAACACTTGAAAATAAGTTAAATCATTCAGAGCACTTTCCTTTCTAAATAATAAGTACCTCTGTCAGTATCTATGTAACAAGTGTCTCTCCTTGCCAACCCCCTACCTCTAAAACAATGCCGTACACCAAAGTCAGCTGTCAAGTAATTTCTAGTAAGGTAGACAATATTGTCAAGTGAGTTTAGTTATAGAGCATAACACGACCTAAGGCTTGTTCCAATGGAAAAGATTAGGCCCTTTATGAAATGATACAAACATTAATAGAGTGAAATTCTATATTCCTCAGAAATATTAGTTACTCTGGAATTATAGGACTGGAATCTCATTTTAATAAAATAACCATGATACTCAAGCCACAAATTAAAACATTCAAAGAGAAGTACAATTCAGGTCTAAAGAGTCTACCAGTATGAATGGTGCCAATTCCCAGTAAAATAGCACTGATCTTAGAACTCCAAGGACAGGATTGGTTTGCTCTCCAACCCAATCACTCTCTCTCATCTAGAAATTAACATCTGACCACAACACCTCTGAAATTCTTTCCATTTCTAACATTCTGATTCCGTAACTCTTTGCTTCACACATAGCACCGAGAGAGAAATTACTAAAGTCTAAGGAAGAGAACTAATAATAATAGTAACTAATACTTACTACAAAAACCAGACCCTGTGGTAAGCACTATGTGCAATCTCTTACCCTTCACTTTACAGGTGAGGAAACCAAACCTTAGTTAATTATCTTGACTAAAATCCTCTAGTTCATGAGCAGGAGAGCTGGTATTGTAACCAGGTGACCCGAAGTCCACGCTTTTCATTTCTAGATTATACTGCCTCTCTAAAACTGCGTCACAAGGAATAAACTACCTTCACAATTAAACCTAATCAAATTTCTAAATTTTTTCAAATAAATTCATTTCATTTGAATTTATTGGGGTTTTCTATTTATTTGTAGCCTGTAATTAAAGGCTATATAAAATGGCTAAAAATCTTGCTTAGGGTTACCTTATCTTAGTGGTTGCTGAGATGCCACAGTTAAGATATAAATGCCACCAATTCAGTACCCATAAATTCACCTGCATCCCCATAAAGCGATTTAAAAGAATTTAAAGACTTCTGTGAGGTGGGACTTCTATATTTTTATTGATTATACAATTACATCTTTGACTAATAAAGAGCAATTGTTTGACAACCTGGTTTACTTAGTAGAACAAATCATACTTGGGCTTGGGCTGAGAGCAATACCAAGAGGTACGGAGTATAGAAACCACTGATTTTCACTGACCAAACCCAGTGGTGGAATAACCAAGGGAAATGTTAGCATACCATAGGAGCATTCTCTGAAACTTATGCTAAAAGTTTAAATTCATTCTTGTTTTTTCTTTTGGGATCCATTTAGAGATGCTTCACTTTTAATTTTTTCTTTAGTATTTTGGAACAAAGCAAGTTAATGTTTCATATAGTTACAAAAACTAAATTTCAAAAAAGCCAAGATCATATTCTAGTCCTAAACATACCTATGATTAGATGAATATTTCACAAAACAATCATATCCAGGATTATATGCTTTCAATAGTTATTGAATATCAAGTTAATATGTGATTCAAAATGCCAAGTTAATATAAAGAAATTTTAAAGAGTAACAGTAGTTTATATTGCTTCAAACTAATACAGGAAGGAGGAAATAGCTGGGGTTGTAAATAAGACTGGCTTGAGTTAATAACTGTTGAGACGAGGTGACAGGTGTGCAGGGCTTCATTTTTATCATTCTGCATGCTTTTCACAATTTCTTTAGGTTAAAAAAAAAAAAGTACCTTCTGATATGATGCAATTGGAGCCTGGATTTAATCAAGACCTACTAGTTTACGGGAAACAGGGTGTAGAAGAATATATTAACTGATACCATGAGGTTACAAATCCGTTAAACCCAGAATGTGGTATTTTTTTTTTAAGTTTATTTATTTGAGAGAGAAACAGAGAGCCTGCGAGTGCGAGCAGGGGAGGGGCAGAGAGAGAGGGAGAGAAAGAATCCCAAGCAGGCTCTGCACCTGGGGCTCGAACTCACCAACCTTGAGATCATGACCTGAGCCAAAATCAAGAGTCAGGTGCTTAACCCACTGAGCTACCCAAGCGCCCCAGAATGTGGTAAATTTGACCTAACAAAAGATGGGTTATGCAACAAATAAATGGCATGAGAAGAAAAAAACAGTGTAGAGGGAGGGAAATTATAAATTTAAAGACACATAAATCAAAAGCAAAGTGTAGCTTCTCAATTTCAACACTTACTATAAAGCTACAGTAATCAGAATAGTGTGGTGCTGGCATAAGGACAAACATAAAATCCAATGAAATAGAATAGAGAGCCCAGAAATAAACCCTCACATATATGGTGAAACTTTACAACTTAAATCATACACAAAAATTAACCCAAAATGGGTCAAAGATGTAAATTTAAGAGCTACCACTATGAAATTCTTAGAAGAAAACACAGGAGAAAAGTCTTTGTGACTTTAAACTTAGCAATGATTTAACTGTGACACCAAAATGCATAAACATTAAAAAAAATACCAAAAATTATTTCATCAAAATTAAAAGCTCTTATGCAAAGGATTATCAGTTATCAGAGTAAAGACACCACTTTTCAGAGTAAGATATGTACATTTCATGTATCTGATAATCCAGAATACATAAACTACAATTCATTAACAACAAAAAAACATACAACCCAATTCAAAAATGGACAAAAGACTTGAATAGACATTTCTCCAAAGAAGCTATACAGTTAGCCCATAAGCACATGAAAAGATGTTCAACATCACTAGTCATCAGGAAAAGTGCAAATCAAAATCACAATGAGCTACCACTTCACCCCCACTATGAAAGCTATTATAAAAAAGACAGAAAATCACAAGTGTTGGAAAAATGTGGAGAAACTGGAACCCATGTGTACTACCTGTGGGAATGTAAAATGTTATAGCTGCTGTGGAAGATAGTATGGCAGTCCCCCAAAATTTAAACAGAATTGGGGCACCTGGGTGGCTCAGTCAGTTAAGCGTCCGACTTCAGCTCAGGTCATGATCTCACCATTCATGAGTTCGAGCCCCACATCAGGCTCTATGCTGATAGCTCAGAGCCTGGAGCCTGCTTCAAAAAATCTCTCTCTCTCTCCGCCTTCCCTGCTCATGCTCTCTCAAAAATAAACATTAAATTGGGGCGCCTGGGTGGCGCAGTCGGTTAAGCGTCCGACTTCAGCCAGGTCACGATCTCGCTGTCCGTGAGTTCGAGCCCCGCGCCGGGCTCTGGGCTGATGGCTCAGAGCCTGGAGCCTGTTTCCGATTCTGTGTCTCCCTCTCTCTCTGCCCCTCCCCCGTTCATGCTCTGTCTCTCTCTGTCCCAAAAATAAACGTTGAAAAAAAAAATGTTTAAAAAAAAATAAATAAACATTAAAAATTAAAAAAATATTAAACAGAATTATCCTATGATCCAGCAATACCACTCCTGAATCCATACCCAAAATAACTGAAAGCATGGATCTGAACAGATATTTGTACATCAATGTTCAGAGTAGCATTATTTACAATAGCCACAAGGTGGAAAAACCCAAATGTCCACTGGCAAATGATAAACACAAGGTGGTACATCCATACAATAAAATATTTTTCAGCCTTAAAAACAAATGAAGTTCTGACACATACAAGGATGAACACATGCTAAGTGAAAAGAAGCCACATACACAAAAGGACAACCACTGTATGACTCTACTTATAGGAGGCATATAGTGTAGTCAAATTCATAGACACAAAAAGTAGACTGGTGAATACCAGGAGCTAAGGATGGCTGGGATAGGGAGCAAATGCTTAGTGGGTAAAGGGATTCCTTCTGGGATATTTTGGAACTTAACAGAGGAGGCGGGAGCACAACAAAGTGAAGGTACTTCGGTCCCCTGAACTACACATTTAAAAATGGTTACAAAGGTTAACTTTTATGCGATGTACATTTTACCACAATTAAAAAGGGCGGAGGGCCACACCTCAGTGGGTTAAGCATCTGACTTCTGCTCAGGTCATGATCTCATGGTTCATGAGTTGGAGCCCCACGTGGGGCTCTGTGCTGACAGCTCAGAACCTGGAGCCTGCTTCTGATTCTGTGTCTCCCTCTCCCTCTGCCCCTGACCCTCCCCCATTCTCTCTCTCTCTCTCTCTCTCTCTCTCTCTCTCTCTCTCTCTCTCCTTCTGTCAAAAATAAACAAACATTTAAAAAAAAAAAAAAAGATAAGCTCAGATTCTCTTCCCGGCGGAAATTCATTTGCAACAGCATGTAGAGAAGTTCATGCCAAAGGGTGCCCTCAAAAACAGTGGAGTTTGTAGTCAAAGGCTACCATAGGAGACTGATAGAATCACTGCAGACACAGGCTTAAGTGAATAAAAAAACAAGATCCAACCATACACAGTCTATAAGAGAGGAATTTTAGATTTAAAGATACAAAGAGACTGAAAGGAAAAGGATGGAAAAGGAAATATTGTAAGAA